CCCCAAAACCCCAAAACCCCATCAAAAGTTGATTTATATATTGCAAGGTGAATAATAATTTATATTAGAAAGTTTAAATTATAGGGATATTTTTAATGGCGACAATATCAATGCAGAATATATAAGATTAAAACTAGCTAAGAATTTCCAAAGAAAATGAAAGGAAAGTGTCAATTATTACTCCATCTACTAATCAAGTAGAATAATCTAGTATAGTCAAATAAAGAAGGAATAATAAAGTTCAAAATTATCAAGAAAATGTAAGTCAACTAGATAATAAAGCAAAGCAAGGTGGAAGCCCACTTGATAACTATAACAGAGGAGGAAGTGATTTTTCTAACATCATCAATAACATTTCAAATGATTATAAATTAGATGATTCATCTGATAAGAAAGTACTCAACTGTGATGCAAATCTAGATGATAATTCATTTTTGTCAAGTACTCCAAAAGATTTAAAGAAGCTGAAGACGTTATATAACAATAGTAAACCATCAGAATTGGTAAACTTACAGAAAGAAAAAAGAAAAAACTCTTAAATTATGAATTAAACTTCAAACAATGATTGTGGTCCAGACTTTAAATTTCACATTCAAGCAAACTAAGAGACAAGTTCATTTAATAATTCTGAAATAAATGCCACTAGCAGAAGAAAAATGATGCGTAAAAGAACTGAGGGCAATCCTGTAAATGATGATAATGAAAGTAAATCAAATGCAAGTAGAGCTAGGATGGATGATGCGATGAAAACAAAAATTTTACAGAAAATGTTGAATGTAAGTGAGTACCAAATAAATTTCAGCTTCAAACAGTTCATAAAATATATCTTCTATCACTTATTGTTCTTCTATCTTGGTATATTTGCAAATCTTGTTATTATGATAACTGATTCGCCTTAAGCTGTAAATAATATGTCTTTTTGGATTACAACTCGAGATAAGATTTCATTTTTCACACAATTATTCTAATGGTTATCTAACCTTACTATTATTATGGCTTGGCTACAAAAGTACTTTAAATTAAGTAAAAACGTAGAAGTTAATTTGAATCTAATTTTCATGGAGTAATTATACTTTTACAACTTTGTTGTGGTTATGAGAATTTTCATTATTGCAGTAAGATATGGTTTTACATCAGAATTTAGACTACAATTACTTATGAGGTAGAAGTAAGAATATGCTTTTATAGCTAGAGATTTACTATTGCCTACATGGATTGAGCTTACTCCATAAGGAATGGAGACTGAACTTGAGGCAGTATTATGGAGAAACTAGATTGATGAGAGTAAATTTAAACTAGGATTTATTGAAAAATTGAATGATAAACTAGATTAGAAATTATCATCCAAAGATTACTATGAGAGTAATAAGTTTAGCATGAAAGAGTTATAGTCAACATTAAATGGATTAGAGAAAACTATCAAGTTTAGAGATTAAAAAATCAGATCAAATGAGATAATTCTTACAGAGGAAATGGAGATGTTTGAAATCCACAAGGTAGAAGATGCAAATATATCATATAATTTTGAAAAGAAATATGATGCTAGTTTACTACTTAAAGAAATCGCACTTTTTTCCTCCGCTCATTAAACTTCTCTTAAGGTGTTTCTAATTGTAGCTACTTTTGGAAAGTTATCGCTCCCTTTCATCATAAGAGGTGCTATGCATGGTTAGTTTCTACTCGATTGGGATAGTGCTATTTACACAGCTATTGAAACTCTCGCTTCCTCATTTTTCCTATTACAAAACTACATCTTTCTGGGAGCAGGTCATGTTGATTTCCAAAGAAGATTTTATATGATAAAGTACATTAGTTCGCTGATCAATCCAACCAAATAAAGTCTTGAGATAATGTACCAAATTTCTCCTACAATAAATTTAGTTGACAGAGCAAGCTTACACATTTGGTTTTAGCTAAGATGCTGTACCATGGACTTTGGTTAAAAGTACTAACGGAGAATATTTGTTTACTCCTCTGTATTTCTTGGAATGTATCTAGTTTATGGAGGGATAATACTATTAAGTTACTTTGATTTTTTGGTGGTAAGATTTTCAACTATTTTTAATGTGTACTGTCTATATGATATTTTACTAACATTCGGAGTGATTTTGGCAATGTTTTAATATGGTGCTCTAATAAATGAACAATTCATGGAAGATAAACTCTAGTTAATTATAATAAAACAAAAACTGATTGATGTGAAATACTCATTGGATGACCTACTATCAAACAAGAAATAGCTGTGCTAGTATACTAAATTGTTCCAAAAAATCATTAAGAATTTAAAGTAAACACTGAAAAATAAAGAAGCTATTTAGGAAAAAATTAATGAAGTTATTGATGAAATAGATGTCATTAAGGAAAGATTAGAGGTAGAATATGTGTAAAGACCTTTAAAAATAATGGGAGTAACAGCATCATTTTAGCTTTTGAATCAAATATATACAACTTTATTTACTGTAGGAGTAGCTGTAGCATAAAAATTCTACTCAAGAAATTCTTGATTATATTAAATACTTAATTTATCTATTATTAAAAATTATATCAAATTATGCTTGGTGGGGTTTTGGGGTTTTGGGG